ATAAAACTCTCTCTTATACATGAATCACTGTGGATTTGTTTCTCCAAAGTACCCAGACTAATACATTATGGATAACTTAAGGATAACTTAATTTATCCTTAATTAAGGATAACTTTCTCTTGTTGACAATTACAAACAATGTCTGTTAAATCCTAGATTATAAACGTAAATGCTTTAACTGTCAGGAAAATGGGGAAGCCTGGTGTGGTGGCACAGTGGGTTAAGCATTGGACTGCTAGCCAAAAGGTTGGCACTGTGAACCCACCAGCTGTTCCACAGTAGAGAGATGTGTAAAGACTTACAACCTCCAGATCCATGGCGCAGTTCTACTCTGCCCTGTGGGGTTGCTGTAAGTCATAATCGACATGAAGTGGGTCATTAAAATGTGTCTTGGTTCTGGCCATTTTGAGCTCGCATAATGCTTTACTGTTTGGTTTTGGTGTTTTTAGATAAGAAGTCCTGTTCTGTTATGTAACAGTACCCGCATGTCAACAGCAGTGGAGATGATCCACACTTTCACAGAAGAAGCTGCAACTTTGTCCAGCAAAGCTAAAGCCTATGCAACTTACCAGGATTATCTAGATGATGCCCACTGCACTGTGCACTCCATTAGTATGGAGGAGACCGCCCAGGCTGTGCTCTCAGATATCTCGGAGATTGAATGTGACTTAATGTTGAGAAAATTATTGTGGGATTCACAAGAGGAATGGGGAAAACTCTTTCGAGAATGGAGAAAAAGTCCTCTTCAACAGATTGATATAGAGTCAGTACAGAGGAATGTTTCAAAATGGATGCAGATCATCTCAGTACTAGAAAAAGGTAAAAGAATTTTCTCAAGTTTTCCCCTCTAGGATTATACACAAAATGGGGTTCCGGGCCCGCAAAATCGTTGTTCTTGGCCTTGTGTCTCCATCTGTTCCTGTGGACCTAGAGCTACACTGAACGAGTGTAGGTAGGAGTACTTGCTGAGGCAATAAAGTGATCAAATTTTTGTAAAATCCTTTTTAAAAAGAACAATTTTTATATCCTCTATCCTCTAAAAAGTGTTTCCCACAGTAGGCAATATAGAACTGGAATGATCCGGGCGGGGGGGCGGGGAGGGGGGGTGTTCAAAAGCAGATACCAACACTTTATCCTGGTATATGCATTAGAATAATTTTTTTTTTCTGAAAAGAGTACAATAGGCCAAATAAGTTAGGTAACCTGTGGTCTGAAAGTCATTTCCCACACACTTCACCCTACTTCTGGCTCTTCTTATGGTGTGAGCCCCGCTGAAGAATCTAGACCCAAATCCTAATTACAGTGCCCTGTGAGCAATTGGGGAAGCAACTAAAAATTCATTCTGAGAGGTTTCCCTTAGGCTAGCTATTAAACATGAAACGAATTACTGATGCAAAGATGCTATTCCTTTGAAAGAATTCTGTTACCTCACAGCATTTCCCGAAGGAACACTTTGCTTCACTTGGCCAATGAATGGCTTTTCTTTTGGGACTCTCCTCTCTCAGCTCTGTCTCAAGCTAGGCTTATCTTTCCCAGAAAAGTCAGAAACACTATTTTATGTTGCTTGTTTTTTAATTACACAAAAACCATAACAAGATCACAAAACGTTCAGAAAAGGAAAAAACTGGCAACACGGCCTCTATTTTCATCATGTAAACATAATAATCACTCTATGCATTTGCACTCACCATTTTGTTATACACATGGATCAGAAAAACAAATGGGAACTAGCATGGGGACAATGTCTTCTTTCATCCATCATTTTCTTTTACCATAAAATCTTACTGCTTGCCAAAGTCTAGTGTGGCAAAAGCCAAAGTTATTCACTTTTCCTATTAAAGCAGGTGCTTGAAAAAATGTTGCTATTCAACACAGATTTGCAAATGATACAAATAGATGTCTCTGCCTCCTCCCCTTTACCTTGATAAGTTGAATAAAGAGTTCATAAGTGCTCAACTGATAACTGCATAGACTTTGAGTCCTACATCTCAGTGGTTTTCCAATACCAGATGATAGAGCAATGCTGGTCGATGGCTTAATTTCTACAGTTTGGGTCTTAAGATATCTTTTTTTCTGAAATGATAGTGATGGTATATTTCTTTCCTTAGTTTTCTACTGGACTTAGCAAAATTGTAAAGTCCCAAGCCTATGACAGTCTTCAGAAGATATTTGTGTCTGTATGTCTATTATATCTATGTAATTGGGAGAACACTGGGGTAGCTAACCATCCCTGGTATCGGATTTTACATGATAACTTGGGTCTGATGATGTTGGGTTTTAATTATCGCTCTTGAGAACCATATCTCTTTTATTTAATCTAGAGTTAATTCTTATATTAGGGTGATGTTAACAAAGGTTATTAGTTCATATGAGTACTATAGATAGTCCCTGCGTTATGAATGAAATCTGTTCCTAATTGGGTAATTAAGAGTATGTGGATCAGTCAGCACAGGCTCATATGGCTCTTATTTAGCCTTACATTAGTGCAAGGAAAGGCACCTTGGCAACACAAATGGCTGCTAACAGAGAGGCTGGTGGTTCAGATGCAGCTGTCTGCACTTGGAAAGATTTACAGTCTCAGAAATCCTGAGGCGTAATTCCGCTCCGTTGTAAAGGGTTGCTATGAGTTGAGATCTACTGTATGGCAGTAAGTTCAGCTAGGTTTTTGGTTTTAGTGCAAGAAAGGCTCAAAGAATTGTCCATGATTTAATAGCTGCTTGGGTAGCAAGTGAAGGTGATTTGTTGCCAGGAGAGATCAATTCACTTGTTTCCTGGTGAAGACAAGTTTACATAAACATAAAACGGAGTTTGAGCCAAAGCAATTCTGTCTGTCCTGCTCAAAGATGGCAGTGCCCAACTCAAAAATGGCTGCTTTGAATGTGCATGGCTCTTCACAGTCTGTCAATGAGCTAATCTGAGCAACATGCTACTGAAAGGGCACACTTTATCTCTTCTGAGTCTCTCATTCCAGGACTTCCACCTATAATTGTTTTCTGTTCTGGTTATGGTGACAAATGACCCAGATTGTAGTGTTTCATGTCTGTTCCTGTATTGCTTCACAACTATGGCAGGACAAATCGGAACAGGTTCAAAGTACTGTTCAAAGTAGTCTCAAGTTATGAACATCCAATTTCTGGGCAAGAAGGAGTTGCCCAGAAATTGGATGTTCATAACTTGAGACTACTTAGATTTTAATGCAGACTAATATCTGATAAATCATGCATACAGCTGCATATTTAAAGATCTAAAGTTTATTTTCTTGTCTTTTTTAAAGAATATGGTTATTGTAAGCTTACTGATTTATCTGTCATTTATAGGCTTACCTAAAAACGATATGGTAACACATTTTAAGCAAATGGTGACAGATTTTAAACAAGAGCTGCCTATCATCATAGCTCTGGGAAGCCCCTGTCTCAAGCCCAGGCACTGGGAGGCTCTCCATGAGATTATTGGAAAGTCCATTTCCCTCGATAAAAACTGCTCAGTAGAGAATCTTCTATCACTCAAGGTAAATCAAAGAAGCTTTAAAAATAGATTGAAATACCAAAGGAGCTGGTTTTAAATGGACAAGTAAATCTACAGGAAATAGCAGTTAGAAAGAGCAAAGGGTATGAGGTTTCTGGGAAAATAGATTCATATTAGTAGATTATAGATGATATGAAATTGTGTTTAATTAGAGATAATCAGGTTAACTAATATGTGATTATTGTCTTTGTGATTAAGAAACAATAATAATGGGTTACATGTGTGACAAATGAAATAAATGTGTTATTATGAAATTAGCATATTGCTATTTAAGAATGTTGCTTATCAAGAATACATTTTATAGGAGTAAATCACACAAGGCACTATATTCCATTTTAAGTAAAATGAAAACATATTGAGTATGTTAGGAAGATCCTGCCAATGATTTGATATTAAAAATCCATAAGTAACAATTATTTTATTTTCTAGGTAAGTGCTGATGTAAACTTAGATTTTTCTTCCTCCATAATTTGCATGATTAAAGTATTTTCCACCTTCATGCCTTGCATATAATGACATTTTTTTCTAGTTTCACAACTGACAGTGTCTAATGTAGTAATTAGGAGCCTTGGTAGTGTAGTGGGTTACGGGTTGTGCTGCTAACTGCAAAGCCAGCAGTTCAAAACCACCAGCTGATCTTTGGAAACGATCGAGGCTTTCTACTAAAGATTTATAGTCTCAGAATCCCACAGGTGCACTTCTACTCTGAAAACAAATTCTACTCTGTAAACAAATTCAAGTGGAAGCCGAATAAAATACAGTTCGCTTCAAGAAGCCAAAGCATGACCCAAAATATACACCACCTAAATTTAGAGACCATCTTAAAAATAGACTTGATGCACTGAACACTTAGGACCAAAGACCAGAAGAGTTGTGGGATAATACCTAGGCCATCATACTCATCCATCAAGAAATTAATACATAATTATGAAGAAAGGAAAGAAAAGGCAAAATGTATGTCAAAAAGAGACCCTGAAACTTGCTCTTGAGTGTAGAGTAGCTACAGCAAACGGAAGAAATAATGAAAGAAAATAAGTGAGTATTTCAACAGATAACTTGAGAAAAAATGCAGAGTATTATAATGAAAGGTAAAAAGACTTAGAAAACCACATGGGAAGAACATGCTCAGAATTTCTCAAGCTAAAGAACTGAAAAGAAACCTCGATTGTCAATTAACAAAACTGAAGAAATTCATAGGCAAAAAATTCAATGATACAGAAACCATCAAATGAAGACAGAAGAAATGCACAATGTACCCCCAAAGACTTGACTTTCATAAGAACCACTTTGAAAGAGGGGAACTCACATTGCTAGGGTCACTCCTTCAAAAAGGGGGGAAAGGGAGAAGTCTGTCCACTTGATGCTGTACAGCATCGAGACAAGGCTGTGACAAATCCACAGACCATCCACAGGAATGAGAGGAGAAGCTTACTGGAAAGTCCAGGTGGGGGAAAGGAGCATCTACGTTTCATCAAAGGCACTAGTATTTCTGGCAAGGTGTGGTGGGTAAATGAGGAGGAGAAATCTCACATTGGAAGCTCAACTGAACAAACTGGACCCTACTTCAAAATGGCCTGTACCACCTTACATTGACACTAATGGAGAGAGAAAAAAAAAGCAGAAAATAAATGATGGTGAGGATGTGGAGAGATTGGGATGCACCTACGTTACTGGTGGGACTGCAGACCATGTAGCCTCTACAGAAAACAGTATGGCTTGTTAGTGACTAGGGTGAGTAAATGGGGGAGGAGCTACCTCACATTGGGAAGGGATACCAAACAATAATTGTAGGGACCCTAACGGGAGAATAAACCTGGGTCTAAGATCCCAAGTAGACACTTCAAACATGTTTCTACCCAAACCTCAGTGAACTGTTCCATGGACTAAGCACTACCAAGACCTTAGACACTGGCCTTACAGGGAACATGGCATCCCCCAAGGCCAGGGCCACACCAGAAGGTCTCGATGTGGAAGCCCAACTGGACAAACTGGACCTTACACAAAACTATTTGTACCCTGGGACTGAGGACTGAAATCGCCTTCAAAGGATGGCCATCCTGAGACTGTGGAAATGGGGGTCGTTGGACCTTGGGTAGGGTGCTGACTTAGGGGATGTCCAATGAAAGGGGACCCAGAACCACCATATACTCATATTCAGTACCTCAATTCTCCCCTTGCATTACTAAGGATCTGCCCCTGTAAGATGTAATACAGGAAATTGTCCACTAGCATCATGCTCCATGCTCTATATGAACAAGGCTCAAGTAGTTAAGAAACCAGTGTGTCCAAAGCAACAGTTCATGGACTGCAGTTTCCATTAGGCTATACTCACATACACTCCTCCAATCAACAGTACCTCACATTCTGTCACTGCATAAATTATTCATGTTATCAAAGCCATCATCTTATACCCCAGGGTGATGATTGACAATGTTTTTCCTTTTTTGTTTCTTTGTTTTTGTTTTGTTGCTGTAATTGTTTTTATCACAATATATATGACCATTAAAGTAAACCAGAGTAGTTAGTTCATAACCCCTGGAAAAACACATGGATTCTGGGTCACCGCTTAATTCTAGCCCCAGTCCAAGAACAGACAGTTCTTTTAACATGGCCACAGGCAAGGGGCAGCTTTAGTATCAGAGAGCGATTATTGCAAACTTGATTATTAGGGATCGTGCCATGTTATACTGATACTCGGTCAGTTGACCTCTCTCTTGGCCCAACTTGAATTTGCCCTAGTCTCAAATATTTCTTGCTTGTTCGATGACAGAAAATGTCTTCTCTGGCTTTTTAGATATTGAGGGTGGTCCTTTGTTTTTCTTCCTCTTTATTTTTACCTTTATATTTTTACTTTCTTCTTTCTGATGTGTTTTTGTTGTTTTCATTGTTGCTGTCAGGTTTCCCAGTTCATGAAGCACAGAAGGAGTGGAACCACAGAGATAATAGCAGAGACAGGGGCGGGGGCCGGCGGGGAGGGGAGAGTGAGGGGAGCTGGGGAGTAAATAAATGTGCAAAGGGGGAGGGAGCACTAGAACTGATTGTGATGGTGTATATACAACTCTTTTAAACATCAATTTAACTATAGAAGTGTATGATGTGTATGATGTAACTATAGAAGTGAATATTATAACAAGAAAACTACTAAAAAAAAAACAACCCACCGAACGACCTAGGGTTCCCATGGGTGAAGAAGGAAGAGTTTTTGCTTAGTGGGCACTGAGTTTCTGTTAATGGTGGTGGAATCTTTTGGAAAAGGATCTCAATAATATTTGTACAACATGAAGAGTATAATCAATAGCACTGAATTTTTACATGTAAAAGCTGTGGAATTGTAAAATGTTTAGTTGTGTATATTTTTGCCACAATTAAAAAGAACCATGAGTATGAGGAAGATGAAAATGTTCTTAACTTGATTGTGGTAATGATTGCATACCTCTTCTTGATATAATTGAACTATTGAATTGTATGATATGTGGATGAAGTACCAATAAAACTGTTAAAAAGCACAATAATAATAGAAAAATACTTGACTGACATAAACCAATGGCACTAAAGGAAGGAAGTTCAAGCTGCAGCGAAGACGGGTGAAAAATAAGGTTCTGGAAACTGATGGAATCGCAACTGAGATATTTTAACAAGCAAAAGCAACACTGACGTGTGTATTCATATTTAAAACTGTGGAAGACAGATTTGTCTTAGAAGCCAGACAGCCTTAGTGCACCTTAAGAGGCAAGGATACTTCATCTTACATACTTTAGACATGCTCTCAGGAGAGACCGGTCCCTGGAGAAAGCCGTCATACTTGGGAAAGTAGAGGGGCAACAAAAAAGAGGAAGACCCTCCAGGAGATGGACGGACACAGTGGCTGCAGCCATGGGCTCAAGCAGAGGAACAATTGTGAGGATGGCGCTGGACTGGGCAGCGTGTCCTTCTGCCGTGCAGAGTCCTTATGGGTAGGAATCAACTCAATGCACTACCATCAACGACAATGGCAGGCTGGGTCCGTTAGAGTTGCAATCTCTAGATGATTATATTTCAAGTGTTATAGGAAATAACACAGCAAAGTGTGTTGTTATTACTGCACAGAAAAGAAAGCTAAAGGACATACTTAATGCCATCTGCACATACATGGAAGGCATTGTTAACTATTCCCTACATTAGCAAGACCCAAAGGAACTAAATGTAGCTTGAACTTTTCACTGAAGGGGTTGGCATGAAAGATCAGGCTTTTAGTTAGGATGTAAACCTAAATGGAATCAGATTTTCAATGCTTCTACTGCTTCAGTCCTTCCAAGTATGCTTTTAAATCTTTTGAGTAAAATGTATCAGAAATTATTTGCTTCTCCGAATGTTCAAGAATAATTGTTTATTTTAGATGTTACAGTATGAAGATGAAATAAACGAAATATCAAATGCTGCAACTAATGAAGCTGCTCTTGAAAAAACGCTGTTTAAGTTGATCGATCTTTGGAATAGCACCCCTTTAAATTTGATTCTTCATCATACAGAGTCTGGTCCTATCCCAATAATTTCTTCTATCGATGACATATTAGCTCAGTTAGAAGAGTCTCAAGTCATACTTGCAACACTTAAAGGATCTTCCTATCTTGGGCCCATTAAGGTAAATAGTATGGGAAAGGGGAAATATTTTAGCGTCTAGTATTTAATAGTTTGAGTATTTACAATATTTTTTTGAAAAATACGAACTTTTATGAAAAAATAGAAAGTTTCATATGGGTGGACAAGAAATATTTAGGTCCATATAACTCTATAACCCATGTAATTTACCATCAGCGCCAATGCTGGTTTTTCTTAAAGACATATGAATATTATCCTATCACTGATAATGTATGTCAAGGTAGATCTTTTTAGCTTTGATTTCTTCTCCCTCTTGTGGATTATTGTCTTCCATGTCATCCACGTTAACACCCATCAAAAGCCTGCCCGTTGCTCTATCTTCCCTCACTTACTCCTCCCCCAGCCTGGCACTCTTGCAAGTCTTTATCTTGGCCTTTTCCCCTTATATCCGTGGTCTCATATAATATTTGTCCTTTTGTAACTAGCTCATTTCACTCAGCATAATGGTCTCCAGGACCATCCAGGCCATGACGTGTTTCATAGTTTTGTCATTGCTTTTTAGCGAAGAATAGGATTCCACTGGGAAGCACCACGTTGCTTTCCACAGTGGTTGCACCATCTGACAGCCCAGCTGTCAAGGTTCCAGTCTCTCCACGCCCTCAACAGCACTGTTGTTTTCTGTGGGGTTTTTTTTGCATTTTGCTATTAATGCCAGAGTGAGATGATATTTCAATATTTTTTGATATGCATCTCTCTAATGACTAATAAGTGCAAGCATTTATTCTTATGCTGGTTGACAACCTAAATGTCTTCTGTAGTGAAGTGTCTTCAATGTCCTCTGACCTTTTTAATACTGAGTCATTTGTCTTTTTCTTCGTGAGATATTGCTGTTTTTCTATATACTTTTTTAGATTAGCCCCTTGTCTGATGTTTAACTGACAACGTTTTTTCCCCAATCTGTGGGTTCTCTTTTTACTCTTTGGATGAAATGTTTTGATGCGCTTAATTGCACTTAGTTTTTCAATGATCCAGTTTGTATTCTTCTGTGTGTGTGTGTACTCAGCTATGTTTGATAGTGTACTTACACCATTTACTAGTTTTGCCCCTATTTTATCAAGTTGATCTCTGTAGTTTTGTGTGGATATTGAGATCTTTGGTCCATCTTGAGTTGGTCTTTGTATAGAGTATGAGACGCAGGTCCTGTTTAACTTTGTTACAAATGGATAGCCACTTTTGATGCCATCATTTGGTAGAGATCATTTCTTTCTCATTTAATGAGGAGTTAGACAAACTCAGATGGTGATTGGAGTCAGAGCATTGGGGCCTGGAGGGGGGTTCTGCCCACTCAGGAGTGCGTGGGAGCCATGCTTCCATCCACCACGGTGCCTTCCACTTGTCTGAGGGGGTGGAGAGCCCATGAAACCAGGATATGCATGAGAATGTACCTTCTATCTCAGATGGAACAGGGGCTCTGCAGGGGGGTTATCACTGGCTCTCAGGTGGGTGAGTGGGGACCGGCCATGCTTCTGGTCACTGGGACCCAGTGGGGAACAAGGTAGGGCTGCACCTTTCTGGTCACTAGCTGCCGTCTGGGTACTTCTTTGGTCCCGGGTGAGTGGATCCGATTATTAGGTTGATGACTCTATTTAAACCAGCTTGCAGAAGTTCAAAATGGCCGCTCCGGGTCAGGCCAGCTGACAACGCACCTGTGCCAGCTAGGAGTCACAAAGACTGTGACCATACGGGCCATATTAAGTGAAATCACAGCGGTGCATATATTTTACTTGGGAAAAATCATATCCATAATGAAATTTTGTAAATCCATAAGAAAATGAGGAAAACCTTTAAATACCGACTTGTACCTTTCTAAAAAACACTATGATGTGGTTCCTTTATGCAGAATATTAGAGATTGTGTACACACACACACACAGCGCTTAAAGAGAATCAATGAACATGCACCCCAAACTCTGGTACGCTTCCTCTGATAGGAGGTGGGAAATAAGTCTTGAGTGGGAGACAGTCACCCTAATTTCTAGAAATACATGTAAATAGCTCAAACATGTTCTAAAGAGATTTGTGTATTTTATAATAAATAAGAGAAAATGAGATGGGCAAGGCACTTTAAAATGATCCAAAAACGAGTCAAACTTCTATGCATCGATGTGACCTTCCATCTGTTACTTTCTGTGTGCCAGTGACGGCTGATCACTTTTGTTCTAGTTCTATTATGTGACTTACAGATCAGTAGATTTAGAGTTTGCATATGTGTGTTTATAATTATAGGATCTGGTGGAAACATGGGATGACAACTTGACTCACTTCTCTAATACTCTTGAGGAATGGATGACGTGTCAAAGGAATTGGCTTTATCTTGAACCAATCTTTTATTCTTTAGAAATACAAAGGTAAAAAAAAGTATATGCAGGTTAAAATGCACAGTGGATCACTTGATTTCTGTAATCCTTGAGGATTCATTTCCTCAATGAAAACTCTAAAACTATCTTACTTATAAGCACAGGCAAAGCACTTTCTACTTATTTTATAATTTGTAAAACTTGTACGCAACAATCTTATACCTTGTATAAACTACATAAGATCTTTAAAAACTTTATTATATTGCATCATTTCCTGGCACCTTGTATAAGATTCTGTATGTATATCTAATTATGCTTGTCTTTTGTACTATGTAAAACGCCTGTACATAATAGGCATTCAAAAATGTCCTAATGATTTAGCATAAAAATATAACATCAAAAACGTTCTAACATGTATAAGTATAATAATAAAGATTATTTAACATAAAAGTTTTGTTGAAAATGCAAGTTGAATATACATTTGTATTATAGTGCCCCCTCTAAATAAAATTATCTCTAATTTTATTTCTAAAGGCAACTTCCATCAGAAGCAAAACTTTTCTCAAAGGTGATTTCTATATGGAAAGATGTCATGTCAAAAATACAAAACAAACTGGAAGCTTTGCAAATAACGACCTCTGCAGGAATTCTTAAAATTCTGAAAAAATGTAATATGTATCTTGAAAACATCAAAAAGAGTCTGGAGGTAAAATTACAACAATCCTAACATGGAGAATTATTTCATTTTACAAAATGTAATGTAGCTGACTGCAGAAACTAATTGAAACATGGGTTGTCTTTTTTACTGTAGCTGACAACATTATTTCAAATTGTCATCATCTATACTCCTACTGAATTTACTTTCAAAGGGACAAACAGTGAATGGAACCATCTAAATGACCTTATACAAAGTATCTAACTAGTTTTCCTTATTTTGAAATTGGAAATAATGGTAGTACCTATTTTGAAAGTTTTTTCTAAATGAAATAATGCAGTGAGCAAAAGCACTTACTCTTTTTTAATTAGCATTATCAATATTGTTGAGCTGATAAATTCAGAAAAAGGCTGAAATTTATTATTTGATTATTTATTTTATAAAATTTTAGCTACAATACATATCATTAAACACCAGATTTTAACATAAAAGATTTGTGGCATACAGTCTTATTTTTCTTCAGGAATTCATTATTTTTCCTTGGTGAATGCATAGTATTAGTGATGATGCCCCCCTGGAATATTTGTCTATAATTGCTATAGCCTGTAGAAAGTTCTCTGTTCAGAAAGGCCTTCTTCATTGCAAATCCATATTCGGGGGCAGTTATAAAGGGGTCACCTAGACAGATTCTGGTTCATAGCTAGTTTGGGGGGCTATCATTGGAATAGGCCTTCCAATTATTACTAGCATATCTGTTAAGCATCACTGAGGGTATTCACAAACCACAAGCCTTCCATTTAACAATGAATGGAGTATATACTATATATCAGGCACTGCTGCTATGCACTGGGACTAGAAGGATATTCTCCACTACTATAAAACCCAAAATCGATCAAAGGAAACAAAAAGGTAAAGAAATATCACAATCCGGTAGCTATTGTGGTATGATGGATAAACCAATTTGACCGAATAAGTTTATATAGAACATTTCATCCAACAACTGTACTTTCCATTTTCTTCTCCAGCCCCACAATTCAAATGCATCTATTCTTGTTAGACTTCCTTATCTAAGTGAGGTATCAACTAAGTCCACGTGGAAGAAGCACACCCGCCTGTGTGATCCAAGGATTGTAAATAATGCAATCCACAGCTGAAGGAAGGAATGGTATCAGAGCTTAAATCGTGAACACCTGGTTTTCAGAAGGCTCTGGATGACAGTGGAAGCCCAAAATCGATTTGGAGAGTCCACACCTGTATTAAGCTTCTGGTGAACCTTCTCCAGGCATAGTTGAGGGATGGGAACAGCCCTTCCATCAGACAGAGAGCATTGCAAAGTAGATTATGGCAAACATAGGTCAAAATAGAATATCTTATCAATTGATCTCCCTTCTGACCCTTTTTAAAACTCTCTCCACTTAAAATAATAATACTAGAAATGGAAATACATGTGGCTTAAGCCCCTGGTGAATCTCTTGTGACCATGGACCAGGATGTGAAGAGCCTTGCTAACATGCAGAAGGAATTGGAAAGTGGATTGTTGCCGATGCAGTTCAGTTTAAATTTAGCACCCTGTCATTTGATCTCCCTTATGATCCATTTACACTTGTTCTAGTTCTTAATGTCTTCAGCTTTCTTTTGAAGTGTTTTTTATCTCTTTTACTTTATTATTGTTGTTAGTGGTTGTTGTTGTTCAGTTGTTTGTTTTTTACTGTTTTCCTATATTGAAATCCAAGATGGGTAATCTATAGAGACAGTAATTCAATTAATGGCTCCTTGGGGGTGTGGCAGAGAAGGTTGGAGGAAATGAGGAACTAATAGCTGTGAATCCAAGAATGAAGAAAACATTCTAAAACCGATGGTGGTGACAAATATCCAATCTTCTTGATGTGATTGAACTATTCAATTGTATGATACATGACTCATATGCCAATAAAACTGTTGGGAAATAAAGAATGAATTGATATGTAGATTCAATGCAATTCTGATAAAAATTCCAACAGTATTCTTGACAGAAAATGGAAAAGTCAATCATTAATTTTATATGAAGCCAAGAGGCCATCATCAATTTTGAAGAATAAACTAGGAAGCTAGGAAAACTGATACTTCCTGATCTCAAAACATACTATGGAGCTACAGTAATCAAAGCAGCTTGGTATTGATAGGATGAAAAACACATAGGCCAATGGAGTAGAATTGAGAATCCAGAAATAATCCTACAGATCTATGGTCCATTGATTTTTGACAAGGATAATAAGACCATTTAGGGGAAGGGGGAAAAAAAAGGCTCTTCAGCCATGTGTTTTTACTACCACACCGTCCGAGTCAGGTGTTTTAACTACCCCACTGTCAGAGCAAGGGTAAATGGATGGCCTTGGCGCCTTCTGAAAACAAAGACTTTAAAGACTGGAACGAATGCCGCTCAATTTTGGGGAGGAAATGCAGGTATTCTTTGCATGGTAGGATGTAGTCACATGCTGACATAATTTGCCCTGTAAGATGATAATGCCACATGTAGGGACATAAACATCAGAAGTTTGGAGCATGGGAAAACAATGCTGATAAGATCAAAATACAGTGCTTTATTAATGGTCAATACTAAGACGGGTGTGTATGTGAGAGTGTGTGCGTAAGGATTTTGTTTTGGTTTGGGTTTGGGTTTTTATTTGTTTTACTTTTGCTTTATTAAAAATTATCTTTAGCAAGTTAAATATAGCTTTCACTGAGCATAGGCTGTTATTGTGGCTGACAGCAAATTTGTATTGTAAGTTTAAGCCTTTCTGTGCAAACATGGGCTCAAATCAGGATGTGATAGATCTCGTAAATATATATTCTAAATGACATTCCTTTTGATTCTGCACAGGACTACCTTGAAACTAAAAGAATGATTTTTCCACGATTTTACTTTCTCAGCAACGCTGAACTTCTTCACATTCTCGCTTCTAGTAAAAATCCTGAGTCTGTGCAGGTAATGTCATAAGTTCTGCTCAGCAATGTTCTCTCCTGACCAGAGCAGGATTTCATAGTGCTCCTTACATGTGTTTCTGATTTACAGCCTCATCTTGATAAATGTTTTGAAAATATAAAACAGCTGATGATATACAAACAAGAAATTGGCCCCCCCGCTGTCATGATGCTCATCTCTGCTGAAGGAGAGAGTCTTATGCTGCCACAGTAGGATATATATTTTACACACTAAGTGTTTATATCTTGTAAGACCCAATTATTTAAATTTGCTTCTTAGTAATTGCTGACAGACCCAAAGAAGTTTGTTAAACCATTTCCTCCAAGATCATGTCTTTATGCAAATAAGATGTTAGCGTTCCACGCTCCATGCAGTGAGCACGGTTCTCGCCTTTGCTTTCACTAAAAGTAAAGAAAGGACCCTTCAAACCCCTGGTTCTCTGTAGTTTGCTACTTCCTTTTATTCTGTCATTAGATAGCTGCCTTGTTTTCTACTCTCTCTTTAGTGTGTGCTTCCAATTTGCCTTTATTGTAGGAAGGCAATTTGCTCTTGGCCTGGGGTTGCTGCTGCCTCCACTGACTGCTGACTTCTGATTTGGTTTTGACTGACTGCAAGGCGATGATCCCAAGCTAGGTCTTGTTTTAATGGTGACACAGTGGGTGGCAAGTGAGGCTGCTATCCGCAAGGCAGCAGTTCAAAACTACCAGTTGGTCTGAGGGAGAAAGATGAGGTTTTCTGTGTGCGTAAAGATCTAGAGTCTCAGAAACCCACAGGGGCAGTTCTACTCTGTTCCACAGGGCTGCTATGAGTCAGAATTTACTCTATGGCAGGGGTTGGTTGTTTTTTTTGAGGTCCATCGTTTACCCTGCTCCAGTTTGCCAACCTCAGCGAACACTCTCTCACCTCCACCATGTAGTTCCTGGTAGTCAGGAGCTGCTTTTAAAAGATTGGGCCCAATTCTTCTGATCTATCAAAAGTCCAGCCTCACGGCAACCTAAGTTTGAGGTTTAAAAGATCCAATGAGGAATCTAAAAATATTTTGTTTTCTAAATTAAGATCTAGAGAAATGAAAAGATGCTATAGGATTGTAGACCTTTGGCCTATAAACATGATAAAACTATGTAAAAAATGTACTCATCTCCGTAATGAAATGGATAAAAACACTTTGCCTTCTCTGTTGTCATCGTAGGAAGATTCGAATACGAAGTGCTGTCGAGCAGTGGCTGGTAAACGTAGAAAAGAGCATGTTCGACATGTTAAAAAAGTAAGTCCCGTTTCAAACCTTAAGATTATATGGCGATATAGACTTGTTTAGCTCAGTCATCTCAGTGAGAAATATTAGCCTTTGGAAAGGTCAAAGGTGTAAAGTCCTTTCTGAAAGGGATTTTGATGGAACGTGGTGGACTTGACCATCTTTACAGTACATGTTCATTTCATAGTATAACCATGGTCATCAACCAGATAGTTTTTGTGTGGCTTGAGATGCATGTGTGTCTGAAAATTGGCCAGAAGCTGCACTGATGGTCACCTTTCTCTGCTTTGTAAAGACTAAGAGTTCAGCAGGCCCCTGCTTTCCGCTCACTTCACTTTGCGTTTTCATTCCACTTTTGCTTCCTGGAATTGTTCTTTTGGCTTATTCTTTTTGCTGTTTTCAAAAAATATAGTAACCTATTATTGCTATTTGTTTGCGCAAACAAAGAGTCGCCGAGAGTTAATTTTTAAAACTGATTTGCCTACCGCCATCTCACTACATTTACAATTTATGTGTGTGGTGCCAAAGCCATGGTGCTTGGTTAAGTGTTAATATCTATATTTGTTAATAACATCCTGAATGCCAACAGAAGGTTTCTAGAAGAGAGCCAATTTTCGTTGACTTTCAAAGTAACCACAAACACCCTACTTTGCCCCACATGTTCCTCCTGAGATGATGTAATGAGACCCATCTTCTACAGATGAGGAATTTCCCCAAAATGCATCTAAGAAGAGAGAGGGCAGTTCTTCGTTTGTCACCCTGGCACTTTCCTGGGTAGCTAACCCTCTCATGTGTTAATCATCATAGTCCTGTCTCGGTCTTTACACTGTTTTCAAAGAATTTCCTTTCCATGTTGTTTCAGAAGATAACTTTTATACAGCCCTGAAATGTAGAGATGGCAGTGAACATTCTTCTTTAGTTCCTACATTTATTGGGAAAATTTCTGTTTCATCATTTATTATGTTGTTTAGACTCTGGAGCATATGTCTTATCAAAGTAAAGATGTTTTATTATATTGCTGCTTGCAAAGGGGTTTTTTGTAATTAAAGAATGTTAGATCACATCAGATGCTTTTTATAATTTTATTGAGAAAATCAAATATTTTTTTACTTTTAATTTGTGGATATCATTTATAAATCTGCGATGTTGAACTTTCCAGTTTTCAAATGTATACCCTTTTTTATTCACTTACTGTGGTAAACCGTATTTTCTTCTTTAAATTATCGTTGTTGGAAGATGCCATCAAGTTGGTTCTGATTCATAGCGACCCTATATGTACAACAGAACAAAACACTCCCTGGTCCTACACCATCCTCAGAATTGTTCTTCTGTTTGAGCCCAATGTTGCAGCTACTGCATCAATCCATCTTTACCAAGCAGGATGCCTTTCTCCAAGAACTGGTCTCTCCTGATAATATGTCCAAGTACATGAGACAAAGTCTCTCCATCCTTGCCTCTAAGGAGCACCCTGGCTGGACTTCGTTCTTCCAAGACAGATCCGCTTATTCTTTGGGCAGTCTGTGGCACTTTCCAATATTCTTCACTAACACCATAGTTCAAATGAATCCATTTTTCTGTAGCTTTTTTTATTCAACTTCCAGCTTCACATGCGTATGAGGCGATTGAAAATACCATGGCTTGGATCAAGAGTACCTTGGGCCTCAAGATAACGTTCTCAGTGCTCTAAAGAGGTCTTGTGCAGCAGATCACCTGATGCCACCAGTTTTTGGATCTCGTAACTATTAGTTCTGTGAGCATTGATTTAGTGCCAAGCAAGATGAAACACCCCTATATATTTATCTTTCTTTTTTTTCCTTCTCTGTCTGAGTACCTGAAGGCTGTGGGCACGGAGCAACTGTAGACAGATGAAGTTCTGTGTATGATTTCTACCTTGTCTGGCTAGTATCTGTTTGTATAGTATGTCTCGCAGTTCCCATTACCAAGCTTCTGCTTGTGACTTTGCTTGTTTTCCCTTCAGTTTGCTAAATTAAGAATTCCTGGTAGCACTGTGAGTTAGAAAGTGGGCTGCTGATAAAGACTAACAATGAGCCGAAATCTACTAGGTGGCAGGGTGTCCTGTTTTGATTTATTTGTTGTTGCTGTTGTCGGGTGCCTTCTCGTCAGTCCAAACTCATTGCAATCCTACGGATGAAGGAACGAAATGCTGCCTCATCTGGTGCCATCTGCACAGTTGCTATGTTTGAGTCCATGGTTACCACCACTGCATTGTTTTTCAATTTTATTTTTTTATTAAATCATTTTATTGGGGGCTCGTACAATTCTTATCACAATCCACACATACATCCATCGTGTCAAGCACATCTGTACATTTGTTGCCATCATCACTCTCAAAACATTTGCTTTCTACCTGAGCCCTTGGTATCCTCTCCTCATTTTCCCCCTCCCTCCCCCGCATTAATCCATCCTATGGCGGGGCTTCCTCTTTTTCCCTGCCCTTCGACCTTTCAAAGAATTATATCCTTTTCCAGGGACTGGTCACGCCTCATAGCATTTCCAAATTTTGTGAGAAATCTCCTCATCTTCACTTCGAAGGAACATTTGGGCCGTACTTCTCCCGGGACAGATTTACTCCTTCTTCTGGTGGTCCATAGTACTTTGAATCGTCTTCATCAGCACCGTAATTCAAATGCATCGATTCTTCCATCTTGATTATTCAATGTCCGACTGCCACGTGCAGATGAGGTGATTGAAAACGTCCTGGTCTAGGGCAGGTCCACCTTCGTCCTCAAAGGAACGTCCTTCCTCTTCAACACTTTAAAGAGGTCTTGTGCCGCAGATTTGCCTAATGTAAATCTTGACCCTGGTCCCATGAGCCAGATGAAATGCTTGATTACTTCAGCCTTTTATCATGAGGTTCTCTATTTGGTCCAGTTGTGAGAATTTGGCTATTCGTTATATTGAGTTGTAACCTACACTGAATGTTATAGTCCTTGATCATCAACAGCCAGTGCTTCAGGTCCTCTTCACATTCAGCAAACAAGCTTATGTTACCTGCATATCAAAGGTGATTAATGAGCCTTCGTCCAATCCGATGTCTCATTCCTCTCCATCAAATCTAGCTTCTCTGATTATTTGCTCAGCATAAAGAATGAAAAAGTATGGTAAGTGGATACAACCCTGACATGCACTTTTCCTGATTTTAAACCACTCAGTAGTCCCTGTTTGAAAGGCTGTCTCTTGGTTCGTGTAAAGGTTCTGTGTGAGCACAATGAACTGTTCTGGAATTCCCACTCTTCTCAGTGCTGTCTATAGTTAGTTAGGATCCACACATCCAATGGCTTTGCATAGCCAATAAGATACAAGTAAGCATCTTTCTAGTATTCTCTGCTTCCAGCCAAGGTCCATTTGAATTCAACAATACTATCCCTTGTTCCACATCCTCTTCTGGATCCAGTTTGAATCTCTGGCAGCTCCCTGTCAATGTACTGCTGCAACTGTTGTTGAATGATCTTTAGCAAAATTTTACTTGCATGTGATATTAATGACATTGTTCAATAAATTCTGCGTTCTGTTGGGTCACTTTCTCTGGAATGCATATAAATGTAGATATCTTTCATCCAGTTGGCCTGGTATCTGTCTTCCAAATTTCTTAGAATAAACTAGTGAGTGCTTCCAGTGCCTCATCAACTTGTTGAAACATTTTGGTTGGTTTTTGATCAATTCTAGAGCCCTTTTTCCCCCACTAATGCTTCAGTACAACTTGGATTTCTTCCTTCAGTGCCATTGGTTCTTTTATCATACACTAACTCCTGAAATGCTTGAATGTTAACCAGTTATTTTTGGCATAGTGACTATGTATTCTGTCCATTAACTTTTAATGCTCTCTGCATTGTTCAATCTTTTGCCCATTGACTCTTTCAATATTGCAGCTTGAGGTGTAATTTTACTTCAGTTCTTTCAGCTTGATATATGTCAAGAGTGCTCTTCATTTTGGTTTTCCAACTCCTGGTCTTTGCATATTTCATTAAAATACTTTGTCAGCTCAAGCTGCCCTTTGTCATTTTCTGTTTAGCATTCTACATTTGTGTGCACGTTTCAGAGCCTCTTTTGTCATCCTCGTTAAACTCTTCTTTCCTGTCTTTTTAACGAGCTTTTGCTTTTATAATGTATGATATGCTTGATGTGATGCCGTAGCTCACATAGCTCTTGATGTGATGCCATAGGGTTTTCCATCAGTAGTGTTCAATGAGTCAAATCTATTCTTGAAATGTTCTCAAAATGCAGGTCAGAGACACCCAAGGTTGTATTTTGGCTCTCATGGACCTATTTTCATTGTCTTCAAGTTCAACTTGAACTGAGATAGAAGCAATTGATGATTTGTTTGATAATCAGCCGCTGGCCTTGTTTTAACTGCTGATGAACTTTCCCATTGCCTCATCCCACAGATGGAGTCCATTTGAAGTCTATGTATTCTATCTGGAGAAGCCCAGGTGTATTGTTGTCTTTTATGTTGTTGAGAGAAAGACCAGGCTTTCTGCTTCTGTAAGGAGTTAAAGTCTTGGCAGCCCACAGGGGCAGTTTTACCTTATCCTATACAGTTGCTATGAGTCAGAATCCACTCTATGGAAGTGAGTTTTTGAGTTTTTTATGTTGTTGAAAACAGATTTTTGCAATGAAGAAGTTGTTGATCTTGCAAAACTCTTATCCTTGTTTCTATCACCAAGACCATATTTCCCAACTGCTATTCATTCCTTTGTTTCCAACTTTACAATTCCAATCACCAATAATTATCAATGAATCTTATATGCATGGTAAATTTCAGGCTGAAATTTGCACACATTGGTTGATGTGTAAATTTGAATAGTAATTGTATTACTTGGATTTCTTTGTATGCTGTGGTGGTTAGGAATTATGTTAATTAGACACTAAGCTAGGTTTGGAGTTTACCCTGTCAATGAAGTAGTAACTTGACATCTCTTTGGGGATGTGGCTCTTTACATAAGAACAAGATCAAAGACAGGTGAGTCCTCTCTGCCCCTTTGCCTGCTTCC